GAATATATAGTTTTAATATTTAATTTATATATAATTTAAAATAACCTATCGTTGTCCTAGGTAGCCTAGTGGTCATGGCATCTGCCCGGTAAGCGGAAGGTCGTGGGTTCGATTCCCAACCCTTGACACTTTTTTTATTTTATCCATTCTGACCAAAATCTATCCGTGAACTTCACACAGACAGAATAAGGCAATTATATAAGTAGATATATAATAAATAAATAATTATCATTAGATAATGATAATGATCATAATGATGATGCGCGCGTTGATGACCAAAATCTATCCGTGAACTTCACACAGACAGAATAAGGCAATTATATAAGTAGATTTGAAACAAAAAAGACATATCCTGACAGCTTGCATGAGCATTTTAGCATATAAGCAGTCAGAAAATGTTTTTTTTTTGTTTATAATATCAACACCTGACCATATTTCTATATAGAAAAAGATAAATAATAAGTGGATCAGGTGTTGATATTAAAAATAAAAAAGGCATATCCTGACCAGGAGAACATGTGCTTTTCAGAAGGCAGAGCGCCATCTGGTGGAACAGAAATCACCTAAACATTGGGTTGGCCAAATATCAGGGAACAGGATAAATCAATGTTAAATTGATTTCTGTTCCACCAGATGGCGCTCTGCTTCTGAAAAGCACATGTGCTTCTGGTCAGAAAATGCATTTTTTTTTAAATATATATATGTATCTTCTGTATAAGTATAACTTTATTACCATCATGAAACGCGATATCCCAAACTCAGGGATATTTGCGTCAATACCTTTCACTTCATCACAGCAATTCGGCTATATACAATCCTGCTCAATTCATTATTTTACATAATTTAACTAAAGAAAATTGTCTAAATAGAAAAACAAACAACATGGCAAAACACACGAAGCAAGCATCGCAGTTCTTTTTTTTTTTTCTAAGATTCCTTCTCTTTTTTTCAATTCAAAATAAAGTTGTATATGTATTTACAAAATTGATCAAAATTTTTAAACTTTTATTTTTTGTCTACAAATTCATCAAGCTGTCCAATACGACCAAATCTATTTTCCTTAATATCCCGGAAAATTGGGCACTCCAGAAGTAGATGTCTCGCGTCTTGAATTCACCCCCGCAGAAGCATCCTGGTTCCTTCACCGCGCCGATAGTTGCCAAAATTTTCCCAAAATTGCCATGATCTGTAATGAATTGGATATTATAAATATTTGGACGGAAATATCTTGGGATTCCAGATACGAAAAGGCTTCTGAAATTTTCATTAGTATTATCAAAAATTTCATTCATTTTTGCGTGTAAGAATGATTTGACTATACTTGGAGCATGGGGTTCGTAAGTAATTAGATCTTCAATGGACAGTTGAGCTAGATCAAATTTGATTATTCTGGATTCTATAGAGTCTGTTAGGAGTGGAAATTTTGCCAAGCTATGCAAATAGTTTGATGAAGTGGTTTTGTATGCTCTAACTGCCCATAAAATGATCTGTTACTGCATGGAGTTCAGTTTTTGTTTACAACGATTGTTTAAATATTTGAACCAAATTTCAAAACCGTATGTAAGTACAGGCCTAATGATTGTTTTAAATAAAGTGTACCTCTTTTGAGTATCTAAGCCCCACATATTGCCACTTAGTGCACATAATAAATTTTTCATACGCCCTGCCTTACACAGAATATCATTAACATGCGGTGTAAAGTTAACTTTGTTTTTCCATTTATGATTTGAAAATTTCATTCCCAGATTTTTTACTTGCTTGACCGCCATTATTATATTGTTATTAACCTTAATAGGTATTTTTGTCTGTTATGTAGGTATAGCATATTAGTTTTCTCTGTACTGATCGTTAATTTATTTCTATTACATCATTGGATCACATAATCTAAGGTGTATTCACTTGCGGTTTTTAGTCCTTCAATAGTCTTATTCCAGCAAATTATTGTGACGTCGTCTGCATAACATATAATATCTGCATTCATTGAATCAAAATTTATCAACAAATCATTTAGCAAAATATTCCATAGAAGTGGTGATAAAGGTCCACCCTGTGGACATCCTTTAGTTAGTTTTTTATGAAAAGTTTCTTATTCGTATGTAAATTTCACCTCCCTTTCTTTATTCAAATAAGATTTTATGATCCGTATTAAATCTGAAGGAGAACATCATCATTATCCATTATTTTTATAATCGCAGGCCACCATTGCATTGTCGAAAGCACCCGCAATATCTATAGCTATCAAGGAAGTCAATTCTTTTTGTTTATGTTTCAATATGGTTTCTATAATTTTATCCATTCCAGTAATTGTTGATCTGAATTTCATAAAACCATGCTGCCTTGAGCTCATTAAATTATTCTCTAAATAATATTTACTTAATTTATTTTTTATTATATTCTTAAATGTTTTAGAGAGATTAGATGTCAATGATATAGGTCTATAATTTTATTTACTTCATAATTAGTTTTGCCTGGCTTTGGAATTATATTTTAAGAATGATTTTTTCCATTCATCCGGATAGTATCCCATTTCTATACATTTATTGAATAATTAATGCAGAATTGGGATTATTTTTATTTTAGATTGTCTGATCATATTGTTACTAATGTAATCAGGGCCAGGTGCTTTTTTGATATTTGTTTTTAAAATTATTTCCTTAGAGAGATTCGATATAAACACTATTTTTATTTTTATATTTAGGCGTATAATTTCTAATCAAAATATTATCATCTTTATCCAAACCTCCAATATCATCCTGAAATAGATCGTTCATTAAACTTTTTATTTTGTCGATCTTTAAATGATATGGTAAATTATCTATTAGTGGTAATCCTAAATTTCTATTTTTCGATCTCAATGACTTGAAAATCCTGTAAGCATTACCAAATGAGTTAGTTGAATGACTTTCTTCTATAATAATTCTCCAACTCGCTCTTTTTGCCTATTTACTTTTATTTAAATATTTATTTCTCATTGATTTATAGGTCTTTTCAAGAACCTCTCCATGTCGGTAATACAAATTTCTAATATAGTGGAAATCGTTTTTCATTTTCTCCAGCTTCCCATCCAACAATATGTATTTGTTTTATGATTTCCGCTTCTTGTCTTGACCTTTAGTGACAGATACGCTGCCTCTTTGATTATTTGTGTGAGAGTTTTCACAATGTTGTCAATATCTTTGATGTTTGACGCGTGGTTTATCATGGTGATAATATTATCTACGTCTTGTATTGATATTTTATCGGTAAATGTTTTCCAATCAGCATCTTTTTCTATAAATTTCCATGTTGAGTTGTGAACTGTCCTTTGCCTGTTAAAATTATTATAAATGTCAAAGGTTATTGTAACGTGATCTGAGATGTGTGTCAATATAGTCGTCTTCCAGTTTTGTACAAAACTTATTGATTTTTTGTTTGAAATCGTAAGGTCTATAAAGCTAGAATTTTGGCAGGTGGGTATCTCAAGATTATGAATAAATAGGCTATGTTCATCTATGATGGAGTGGAATTTGAAACCATTGGAGTTTGTTGTCGGATCAAACCAGACTGGGTGTCTAGAATTGAAGTCACCACATAGTATAATAGGTTGTTGATTGTAGGTATCCAGAAGCTCTTGGATAAATTATCGATGTGTGTCATTAAATCTATGTGGATGTATATAAAGTTTGCAATAACAGTATTTGATTTTGCTGAATTTAAAGAAGTGGTTGTACAAAAGGAGTTTGTAAATTTATTGATTTTATTAAATTTTAAACTCTTATTCATAAGATCGTTGCAGTGTAAATTTGTTCATCTGTCGTTGAATGCACTATTTGAGATTCCAAATCGGAAATTACATCTCTATCAATCAGATAAGGTTCCTGTATTAGGATGATATCTGGTGGGTTGTCTTTTATTGCAGCTTGAAGCTCATTCAGTGCCAAGATACTTTTTCTTACATTTTGTTGCAAACATTTAATTCCTTTTCCCTGCATGATAATCAAAATAAATACACAATAAACTTATGCTGCGAAATTTGCCTAATTGGCGGTTGGATGATATCTCGTTCGTTGGATAATTCTGTCTATCTGTATTTTGTATAGAGGACAGTCCGAGGAATTAGCTCTATGATTCGGCGTGTTTCTAAATTTAGGATGTTTTAGACAGTTATAACAATTACAAATTTTTGAACAATCATAAGTTCCTTACGCGCCGCATAATTTGCAAATCTCGACGTTAGTACAATCGGCCAATTTATGGTTGGGATTAAATTGAAGGCATTTCTGACATTGCTTTACCAGAATCTTATCTTCCACAAAACAGCGTTCAAAGTCAGTGTATAATTTATTATTCACTTACCCGATTAAATGTTTTTATTCAAATAATATTCGTTACACTTATAAATTGGAGCCGTGGAAGTCACTCTTGTGAAACGTTCCGCTCCATACTTTACATTTACATTAGGTCAGCTGGTATTACCCCCCCATTTTCACTGCTAGAGGCGCGAGCGAAAGAGCAAATTTGCAAATAACACGACGGATATTCGGGATAGAGACCTGAAATTTTCACTAAGAGTTTTTCCAGATTCTACTTTATATACTGTTAAAATATCAGTCAGATTAGTTACGTATTGTGGACGTATATAGTTGACAAACATACATATATACATACATACGCTGACTTTTATATATATAGGGATAATAATATAAATGAGTTTTAAAAATGTAAAAAGGAAAAAAAATGCATCGGCCGGGAATCGAACCCAGGCCGCCCGCGTGGCAGGCGATCATTCTACCACTGAACCACTGATGCTTATAAGAAATGACCCTATTTGGGTATTTATTCCATTCACAAAAGCAAACGATGACATAATTGTTGATGACTCTGATACTTGTATTTATAATTATGTTAGCATAATGAATTAGTCAGTATTCCCATGGTCTCCAGCGTAGAGGTGTGAATTGACTTTTTGAAAATATACATAATTATAAAGATAGAAGATTCTATAGAAATAACTAAAATAAGCCGGAATAGCTAGAGCGTTAGACTGAATATCTAAAGGTCCCTGGTTCGATCCCGGGTTTCGGCATCTTTTTTTTAATTTTTAAATTTTTACTTACCGTAACTTGACACGTGACTTAACGTGACAGAATTGTGCATGACGCTGATAACTGTATTAAATATGATACAGCAATATTGTCATCATCATTTTCTGAATAAAAGGCTGGTTAAACCATTTGGTTTTCGACCACTACGACCCGGGTTCGATTCCCGCATTGGACACTTTTTTCTGTTAAAAAAATGCTACAATGGCCCCCCGATTCTTGCAAAAGTCCAACCCCACCAGCGAGTGCAAGTAATCAAACGGGGCTCTGGCACATTTGTAAGTGCAAAGTCGAACTGCTTTCACATGTGTAGACATGTGGTGCGCTTACAGTAAAAAAGCAGTCGCTAACTACCCACCATTATTATCATGGCCTGTACCACATGTACTAGGGATAAGTAAAAAAAAAAAAGGTCAGCTGATATTACCTCCCATCTTCACCGCTAGAGGCGCTGCTTGCGAGCGAAAGGGCAAATTTGCCACGCAATTTGCAAATAACTTGTATACATACTTGTATACTTGTGTACATAGACCATAAATCTGTACATAGACAGGAAAAGCACATATATTTTAATAACATAAATGAGTTTTAAAAATGGTAAAAAAAAATGCATCGGCCGGGAATCGAACCCGGGGCGCCCGCGTGGCAGGCGAGCATTCTACCACTGAACCAAAAGCAAACGGTGGCAGAATTAAGAAAGAATTGTGCATGACGCTGATAACTGTATATATTAACTAGCCGAATGACCCGGGCAACGCACGGGGTTTACCCGATTAAATGCTTTTATTCAAATACTATTCGTTACAATTATAAATTGGCGCCGTGGATGTCATTCTTGTATAATATACTAGCGGACGTACCCGGCTTCGCCCGGGTTTTACCCGAGTAAAGGTTTGTCTAACGAATCTCTCGATAAAGTGAACATTTTTTCCCGGTCCCTTGAAAAATACTCGATAAGTTGAATAAAATCAATATTAATTGGTTCCCTCGGTAATTGGAAGTTAAAGGAATAGTATCTTGCCTTGGAATTGTATCATTATTCTTGTCTCAAATAAATTGCCGTGTCATCTTGAATTTTGTCTTTCCTAATTTTCTACATTACAAAATCATCGTATCATCATGATAATATTTAGAGCAGATTGTTGAATTATAACAGATAAATTATAATATTTATCTTGATTATTTTAAAGCGAAAAGTTATTTCAAAAATTTTATTTGCTAGAAATCTTCCCATTACTATACTAAATAACTTCCCAAAGTTTCATGGCGTTCCAATGAGTGGTTTGGTCAGGCATAAAGGACAAACAGACACACATACACACATACATTCATTTTATATATATATATAGATAAATAAGTTTTTAAAATTGTAAAAAAAAATATGCATCGGCCGGGAATCGAACCCGGGCCGCCCGCGTGGCAGGCGAGCATTCTACCACTGAACCACCGATGGTTATGAGAAATGGCCATATTTGGGTATTTATTCCATTCACAAAAGCAAACGGTGACAGAATTGATTAAGAAAGGGCAATGCCCGGGTTTTATCCGATTAAATGCTTTTATTCAAATACTATATATAATATATAAATAAGTTTTAAAAATTGTAAAAAAAAATATGCATCGGCCGGGAATCGAACCCGGGCCGCCCGCGTGGCAGGCGAGCATTCTACCACTGAACCACCGATGGTTATAAGAAATGGCCATATTTGGCTATTTATTCCATTCACAAAAGCAAACGGTGACAGAATTGATTAAGAAAGGGCAATGCCCGGGTTTTACCCGATTAAATGCTTTTATTCAAATACTATTCGTTATAATTATAAATTGGCGCCGTGGATATCATTCTTGTGAAACGTCCCGCTCCAAACTTTGTGTCTGAGAAGCGATATTTTTATAAAGAGATGATCTGGCTTTGTGTCTTCTGCTCGAATGAATGTTTTTCTGTTAGAATTTTGTTCCTGCATACTAAAAATGAACTGGCTTCACCCGTGGTCTCTGCTTTTTGGAATTTTTCCGGATATAATTTTGTATCTGATAATCAAATATGATACAGCAATATTGTCATCATCATTTTCTTAATAAAAAAAACAACTACTTTTTCCCCAGAACCTGTCAAATTATTTTTCTTGACTAAAAATCTGAAAAATATATTTTCCAGATTTTTCTCTATGTCCTGTTAAAACACATTTTACATGTCCATTAGGTCAGCTGATATTACCTCCCATCTTCACCGCTAGAGACGCTGCTTGCGAGCGAAAGGGCAAATTTGCCACGCAATTTGCAAATAACTTGTATACATTTTTTATACTTGTGTACATAGACCATAAATCTGTACATAGACAGGAAAAGCACATATATTTTAATAATATAAATGAGTTTTAAAAATTGTAAAAAAAAAAAAAAAAATGCATCGGCCGGGAATCGAACCCGAGGCGCCCGCGTGGCAGGCGAGCATTCTACCACTGAACCAAAAGCAAACGGTGACAGTATTAAGAAAGAATTGTGCATGACGCTGATAACTGTATATATTAATATTTTTAAGGATCTGGTAAACCTTTGGAGAAACCCTTAGAACTATGTTGTGGAGTGGCGTGTTCGATTTCATGCTAAACAGAACATGGATATCGTTTTCCATTTCGTTCAAATCAGGGTTCATACTGCAGATTGTATTAGTAAAATTAGCGGTTCCTGTAAGTTTATTAACATTTTTGACTACTACTGTAGGATCTCTTTGTTTGGGGATAAATATTTTGCTGATATTTGCGAGTTCCTCTGCCCTGCCTAACTCATCATTTAGAGATTCCATGTCTGATTCTGTAGGGGTCTTTATTTTTACCGATTTCCTAGCATTTAAAATTTTGTTAATCTTTATTTTTTTTCCTTCGTCCCTAAGCTTTTTAACTTTGCTTGATATAGTTTGATACATTTTTGTATTATCTTCCACATTTATAGGTGTTGCGACTATTGTGAACTCCTTATGTACATTTTTTTTATGTAACCTTGTGGTGTTTCTGTACGAGCTACTTGAGCATATGTTGGAGTTGTTTTAACTAATTTATCTTGGATTCCTTTCAGTTTTCGGTCCATAACATCTGTAATTGTTGTTGTCATTATTTCCAATATGTCTTGGTTATTTATTTCTTTTAAAGTTGAAATACCATCCGTGGTTTGCCTAACCATAGTTGACAAAAATGTAATATCATTTTTAGTTAGATTTTTTTGATTTTGTTGAACTTTTTTGTCAAAATAGTTGTAAATTTCATCCAACTTATCATTTAATGTTTGAATAATTATTTCCATATTCTATTTTTACATATTTGTGCGAAAACAACAATTGAAAAGACTTTCAAAAATAATAATAACAAAACAAAAAAAAAAGAAATCTCCTAAACTCTTGAACAGTGATTGCCAATTTAAAAAAAAAAGTTATGATACTTTTAATTAAACAATTTATAAGACTTTTATAAATTATACAATAAGCAAAATGAATATTTAAAAACAATATTTACCGAAACTAGCGGAGCCTAGCGACGTACGTCCGGTCAGTTTCGCCTCCTGGCGGCAATTGGCGTAATTTTTTGTTAAGATTATTTAGCAACCTAATTTCGACGTATTATTTCACTATTTATGTTTTTTAGACGTTATTATACTTTCAAATATCTAATACTATTGTAGATGATGTAAAAAGCTATTTAAAATCATATGTTCAAATAAAATTTGATATAAAAGAACAAAGTTTGCTTGTTGAGAAATAATTTACCTTTAAAATTTAATTGTACCTTTTAGAATATTGTTAATATCTATTTATAGTGTTTAAAATTGTAATTATATAAGAAATTATAATTTTCTTTATTGGTGTGTGTGTTTTATTGAAATTAAAAATTGTTTATTATAATTCTCACAAAGTACTGCTCAAATTTGATATCAACGAAATAGTGATCTATTTGTGGTATGTACTCAAATGTTGATATTCCATTCGGTGCAATAACGTATAGTACTGTTCCAATCTAATCTATAGGGAATACATATGTACATGGTGTGTCCAATAAATAATGAGACCGGTCAAAAACAAAGAAAAAATGAAATGATAATTTAAAAAAAAAGTATATTAAAAAAAATAGAAAGCTTCAGCTACACTGCGGTATATCACATCACGTGATTGCGCGCGTAGTAGATATATTGTAAGCTTGTAAAAAGAACGCTTTGCATAACAACTTCTAATTTGTAATGGATAGAGAATTCGAACAACGAATTTGTATTAGATTTTGCTACAAAATTGGGAAATCGGCTTCAGAAGGTTTTTATGATTTAAAAATGGGATGGAATCGGTGAAAGATGAGAAGCGTGTTGGACGTCCAATTCTGCACAGGAACCCTGAAAAGGTGAGCCAAATTTCAAATTTGATAAAAGAAAATCCACAAATAGGGTAACGGGACATTGAGGAAGAAACAGGGATACCAATATCATTAGTTGGATCGATAATTAAAGAAGACTTGCAGTTAGAGAAGACACCTTCAAAATTTGTCCCTAAAATGCTCACAATCCAACAAAAAGAGAATCGCGTTGACGTTGCCAAAAAAATACTTGAAATGGAGGAAGAAAACCCTAATTGGAAGAAAAAGGTAATAACTGGAGACGAAACATGGGTTTACGGGTATGACCCGGAAACAAAACGCCAATCCATGGAGTGGAAAGGGAAAGATGAACCAAGAACGAAGAAATCCCGACTTTGCAAGTCAAAAAACAAAGTCTTATTGGTCATGTTCTTTGACATAAAGGGAATTGTGAATTATGAATATCTAGAGGAAGGTCAAACAATCAATAAGGAGTCTTATTTAAACATTATGAGACGTGTAAGTGAATCAATTCGTCTGAAAAGAAGTGAAATGTGGAATTCCAAAAATTGGATTATCCATCATGATAATGCATCACCATACACCGCTACATCTTTACTGACTTATTTGGCTAAACACGGCATCCAAAT